GCTGCGTTAGAATTAGCGAGGTGCTTGGGCGTGCTGACAAACAAGCTGGAGAGTATTCCTTTGGAGGAAAGGCCGATGCCTTGCCAGCCGCCCCAGGAATATGCATCGAAGACGTTGGACCGATCTCCATACCATTGGGCGAACACGATGCCGTCAAACTGATTGCGAAGTGTAAGAAGTCTCCGTTTGGCCACAACTTTGAGACGAAGATGGACGACAACGTTCGTAAGAGCTGGCAGCTAGAGCCCAGTCAAGTGGAGTTCAAGAACCCACTTTGGGAACGCGGTCTCAATGAGCTTACCCGAACGATCACTGAGCGCCTCGGATACACTGGAGTTTGGTTGCAGTGCGTACTGTACAAGTTGCTTGTGTACGAAAAAGGCGGCCACTTTGCTAAACATCAAGATACTGAAAAGGAAGACGGTATGATCGCGACCCTGGTTGTTCAGTTGCCGTCACTTCATGAAGGTGGTGACCTGGTGATTTATTCCAATGGAGAAGTGAAACATCGCCACGATTTCGGCAAAGCTGATGGTACAGCAGCATTCATGCCACACTATGCCGTACACTACGCAGATGCTGAACACTCGTTGGAAAAAGTGACTAAGGGGTTTCGTCTAGCGTTAGTTTACTCAATCTGTTTGCCGAAGGACAAGAGTGATTTGAAACGAGTCTCCGATAAGCCGCTGAGTGATGATCTGGTGGACGCAATCCGGATGGTCTCCGATAGGGGCGAGTCTTTCGCCTTACTACTGTCCCATGAGTATACTAAGAAGAGTATCGCTGATTTTGGATGTGAGGCGTTAAAAGGCGTCGATCGTGTCAGATTTGGAGCTTTGGAAGAGGCGAACACACTTGTTGCGACCGACAAGAAACTGAACTTCTATATCGCAGAGCTAAGCCTTTTTGTGGAGTATTCGGAACATGACGACGAAGCGGGTTGGTTCGAGTGCGAACGAGAGCAGTCCATCACCTGGTACAACTACTTGCCGGATATTAACGACATTGGGCAAGTCCAGAAGACTGAAGCTGTATTCAACTTTCTGAATCCAGCAGGAGAAACTCTCACCCAGCTCTGGATGCCTCATGGCACCAAAGAATTTCATTGCTACACTGGAAACGAAGGTCCGTCAAGCAGTACAAAGTATTCTAGATACACTATTGTGGCGTGGCCGGCAAGTCGACACGCAGAAAATGCGTTATCATATTTCCCTATGGATCTCGCATACGAGGCTCTGAACGCTCGTAAACCATTTGATGCTTCAGCTCTGCGGTCGCTCATGGAGCAAGTCGACAAGCGATTCGAGACAGAAAGGGATTTTAGTATTCCTCTTGGGTTTTCCATCGAATTTTGCCGACTATTTTGTGAATTGGTACTAGACGCTGGTGATCCAGAACTAGTGAACTTCTTCTTTACGAAACTGTGTCCGAAACTGGGTAACATCGGAGGGAACGATACGCTTGTTCCTTTTCTTGTGGCCATCATACGGAAGTTTGAATGGAGTAACATTGGATTGGCACTTCTGTCTTCGCTAAGCAAATCGCAAGGGTATTATTCATGGAACCAGACCAAACAGAATGAACTCTCCTTTGTCGAACTAACTTTACGAGTTCTCGATGTTTTGGATGGTGACGAGGGCCAAGAAGCGTTGCTGCAAATGGCATTGGAAAAGGCCATGGAACTTAAGGACGAGCAGTTCTGCTCGCCGAAGCTAGCCCCACTACTCTGCAAATGGTCTCGTCGCTCTAGCGACGATAGCAGGTTCAAGGCGTTTTCTGAAAAGCTCAACGAGTTGGATCCACGTTTTTTAGGACCAGTCATTGAGGGAATATCGCAGCTGCTAGTTGATGAAGATAAGACTGGCGAACTTTACGTCAGTCTTAAAGCACTCGCGCCGAAACGGATCGAATGGTTGAATGACCAGATATCGGAGTTGAGCAAGTCTTTCACTTGGGAGATGCCAGACGCCGAATTCCGCGGCTCTAAGGTTGTCAAGGAGTTTTTGCGGGGCCCAGACGAGTCTATGGATATGAAAGACGACTTCACTAATCTTGAGGACGTTCGCGATTATGCAGCCCAATGGACTGAAAAGGACCAGCGTGGTGCTTCGTTCAAACTGGAGGCTGCTGGTTCGGACGAAGACCCGTATCTGAAGATCACTAAAACGCGGAAATGGTTTGAGGACCGTCAAAAGACTTTGGAGCAATATAAGAAGGAAGTGGGTGATTTGATGGAACGCTTTGATGAGAAAACGGATGAAGGTTTGAAGAAACGCGCTCGCCACCAGTGACGCTACAACGATTTTTTTAGCACGTGATACTTGGACAGACAGAAAAAAACTTAGCTAGTTTCGCTAGAAAGAAGTGAGAGAGAGTCCTGTCACCGAACCAACTAACACGAGAAATCTTGCTCGAAAGTTTGTGTTGTCAGAATGTGACCAAAAATGCGGGCAAAAATTAATATTTCGAGTTATAGAAAAAATTAACAATATTGGTTCGTCAATGAGATAGCGAAAAAAAAGGTTCTTCTCGTAGTTCCCAGAATTTGAATTCTGCTTTGCTTAGTGACGCTTTTTGTTTCATCTCAGATAAAATGATCTTTTAAGATATCCGACAGATCGCTTTTCTGGTCAAGTTCCTCTTTTCTTCGTGAGTAGGCTAACCCAATGCTCGGATACCCCTCACGCATTTAGTGATGATGAACTTCGGCTTGGAGTCCCTACTACGCATGGCCGCGTCAGCTGGCCCTCCACAACGCGAGCAAGAGAAGGATTTTGAGAAAGGAAAATGGCCTTTCGGCAGTCAAGGTACACCCGATACTGTGC